GATCTGGAGGAGGGGTCCTCTGATGAGGAATTGGAGCAGGACCTGCTCCCCGACCTCATGATGGATGACCCTGGAGACCTGGGGACAGGGACCCTCCCTGAGGCTGACCGGGATCCTTCCACCGTGGACGTGGGCCATGAGGAGCTGTTCCCACCCCAGGTCCCCTCAATGCCGCAACACTTTTCCCGTGATGAAGTTTGGCGCAGTATTGATATTGCTGGCTCAGATTTCCCGAACCAGCCTACGGATTTCATCCAGCAATCTCTCGCATTTCAAGTCTCGCAGTTATCAGCCCTCCATCTCGGAAGATTGTATGGCAATTGGGTTTCTGTGCTTGAGAATTTCTACATAAAAATACTGGACATCTTACCCAATAAAACCAGTTCGTATACTGGGCGGGCGGCTGCGAGACACTTCAGAGTCGCACCTATCAAGGCGCCAAAGCAGTACATGGCCCAGGCTGACCCCGCCACGAAGTGGTGGGCTATTCTTTTGGCGTGTTTTGAGGAGCTGACCAGGAAGTTCGAGGACCCACTCAAGAGCGTGGTCATTCGGGGCCGCATCAAGGAGCTGGTTTGTACCCTGCCGACCTCAGCGGCTCTTCCCCTGTCACCGACGGCCAGGAGGAAATGGATGGCTACCCTACATAGAATCAATCAGCTTACCCTGGATCAGCTAAAGCGGCTCAAGATAACAATCGAGAGTAATGCAGTTCGGGCACAGCGATTCTCAGCCACAGCCTCACGGAGAGGTTTTGATTCTTGGATCCTCACCATGGCCTCCACCACCTCAGGCAAGCTCTATGGTTTCATCAGGCACCCGCCAGTCGCGCTGAACGAAATTCGAGCCGCTCAAGGGACCATGGCGACTCCCATTGAGATCATGACAACCAAGAGGGACTGGTGGGAAAAGGCCTGGAGCAGCAAACATTTTGACACACACAAGGTGATGGGCGCTTTCGCCAAGGCCCGCCAGAAAGCCATGGACACAGATTTGGAACCCAGTTCAGCCGAACAGATCAGACATATTCTGCAGCGTATCTCTCCCCCGAAAGCCAAAGGCTGCGAGGCTCTCAGCATCGACGACCTCCGACGCCTACCTGATCAAGCCTTACAGACGTTAGTTGAAATGTACCATGAAGTGGAAAGATGCGTTTCGTGGCCGTGGCAGTTCATGGTGGTTTTCACCCGCCTTTTGCCGAAGTCGACCGACGACGATCGGGCGATAGGCACTACTGGTTCGACTTTGGGGGGCCATCAGGAGCCCGCTGGACCGCGAGCGGTGCGCCCAGACAGCTGGTCATTGGGATGGGGTGATCGCAGGATCTTCTTCCCTGCGAGCTGTACTGCTCCGAAATGTTGGTGATGAAGCAGTCAGGGTGCCCCCATCTCGGGAATTTGGTCCACTTGGAAGTTCTTTGGGACCTCAAGGCATTCTACGATTCCCTGGACTGGGTGGCACTCATCACCACCGCCGAGGATCGCAATTTCCCACCGCACACGCTGGCGCTCCCAGAATCCTGAAGGAGTCGGGCCATTTGTCCCTTCCTATTCAGCCTCAAAGGGCAATGGTCGCAGGACTGAGGTCAGCGGTTGATCTCTCGCGCTGCATTCTTCACCGAACACTCGAAAGGATGTGCGAGGCCCACGCCCTTGTTATTATCAAGTCATGGGTAGACGACCTTAACGCTCGCATTACGGCCCCACCGAAGTTTGCAGTCGACCAGCTCACCGAAGTTGCCACAACCCTGCGGGACGATTGCAAAGAGTTGGGCCCCATCACCTCCCCGAAGTCGAACATCCTCAGCTCATATGTCTCGGCTGGGGTTGCCCTGTTGGCCAACTTGAAGCAGTTGAGGCTTACAGTGCCGTACAAAGATCGAGTTGTGGACTTGGGTTTTGACCGAGGCAACGCGCGATATGGTCAAGCTAAACACAAGAAGCGAGCTGAGAAGGCTCGCTTCATATTTCACAAGATTGATAACCTGGCCAGGGGTACCCTGGCGCATCGAAGGATAGGAATACGTCTTGCAGCCACTGCCGCCATGCCATGTGTTTCCTACGCCGGAAAGATGCATGGCACCCCGCCATCGGTTCTACTACAGTGGCGCCGAGCTCTGGGACGCACCCTACGCAAGGGCCCCAGCCAACGCTCGCAGACCACCCAGCCCCAGTTGGACATGGGCCACTCGGACCCTGCGATCACCACGGCCATGGACGTGATCAACTCATGGGCGATTTTTCTGTTCTGGCCACCCCCGGCATCGACAGGCGGCTGATTGGCGACCTGGGCCAGAGTTGTAGCGGACCTGCTGGCCCGACAGCAAAGCACCTGGTCTCGCCACATCTGGGGAATTTGCTCGGCCACGGTTTGCTTGCTTCTGATGTATTCTCGGGGGCCCCCGGGCCCTGGTAGGTGGGCGGGCCCCGGTGGCATCGAGTTTTTCGCCCCGCCTGAAAAGCGCAAGGCTGGGGCGCTGGACTTTTCTGATTTGAAGCAG